ACTCACTTTATAATGTTAAGTGGCATAAATTTCATCACCAAATAAACTTGAGATCTTAAAGGTGATGAAGTTGAAATTAGAATCAGGATTGATTGAACTTTTCTTTATAGGTACATTTATGGCTGAGAGAGTTTCATTGGCAAAACGATGCAATAACAAATTCAAGCGTGAAAACTTGTCAATAAATTGACTAGTTACTTTCACGTAAACGAAATATACAAAACGAAAATATTGCTATCCACGAAAAATTCACCTCGAGAATTTTATGATCTCCTTGTTTTTGACCTCCCAGGGTCAGAAAAAACACATTTTTGGAATCGCATCTGTCTGTGAACTCCATAAATCGAAAACGGAACGAGATTCCATAGACAAATCCATTCTGATGCAAACCCTAAACCAGCGGGAGTGGTCTCCCCTAAACTTTCTCGTATACTTCGCGAAAAAGGTGCCATTTCCCCTCCCCCCGCGTGGATAAAAAAATTCGAACCTATTGTAATCCAGGATCCAATGACTATCAGAAAATATTTAGGTAAAGAATCAAATTCAAAGAAATGAGTTCCGATTAAATGCTTACCGATTTCTACTCTTGCTGGCTCAAGGACAAAGTCCCATAATAACTCCCACGTGCACAGATTGCTACCAGTGCGCATGCGCATGGAGAATCGGATGAAAAAGCGCCAAGCAGGAGTCTATAAATATCGTGCACAGAAGATTGCGTCCAGTACGCATGCGCGTGGAGATAGCGGATTCGTTGGAGATGCGATTATACAGACCGACAGTCAGTCAACATTTTGACGGATTTGGCCCAAACATTTATGCCGACCTACATTCATGACGATAAAACTGTGTATGAAATTTTATCCATCTAACTATTCAAGTTTTTGAGTTATAGCGTTCACATGACCGCGGACATGCAGACAGACAGACTTCCCTTTCAGGGATTTTGTCCAAAATTTAATAGAAACCTACAAATTATGTGTAAAGACCACATACCAAATTTCATCCTCGTAGCTCTAATAGTTTTCGAGTTATCGTGTTCACAGACAGACACACAGACATAATTCCAAAATTGTGCTTTTCGGACTCGGGGAGGTCTAAAACGTGGAGATTCATCAAAATCTGGATTTCGAATTTTTTGACGATTACAATACTTTCTCTTTGTATACTTCGTATACGAGAAAGTAAAAAGAGTCAAGAGAACAAGATTTTTACTTGTTCGAATATTTTATTTTCGTGAGTTTTGATTGTCCTTTTTTTCCTTAACACTGTTGAGAAAATGTTTCCACATTCTGATTACATTTCACGATATTTATGCAATTACAAATTACTAGTGTTTTAGAGGCATTTGGATTTTAACATAAGATTTTATTGTGTTTTATACCAACTGCAAATATTTTAGAATTTAAACAATTTTAAATGTTACCGTGGGCCTGTAGATCTATCATATGTTGCCGCAGTATAGTCAAATATGGGTCTTGCGCCAGTAAAGTTCAATATCCAATTGCAACGGAACGAACTAGCGGTTAACAGAGACCTCGATTGATAGTGGTACATATAATCGAGGTTCTACTGTGTTATGATATTAGTAGTAAGATACTTATGATATAGTTTATACATTGTTTAGATAATCATTTTCGAAGCGTATAAATGTTACGGTCAATGTGGTAAATCGGTTATTATACATATTCACCGCGGTAATTCTATAATATAAACGCAGTGACAAGGCCTCTAACGCCTCAGGATTGTGGGCGTGGCTACGACCCACCGAACTTGACGCCACACCCGCAGCGAGGGGTTTTCCTTAGAATTCCAGGGGAGAGAGTGCAGAAGTGAATTTGAAACGATATTTGAAACGAGACGAGAACCTTATCTTTGAAACGAGAAAGATTGATAGTAAACAATATGCATAGAGAAGATCTCTGTGCAAGGAAACGAAGGTTAGCAAGAGAGAGATATGCACTATGGGAGGCGAGACAAAGCCAAGTGAAATTAAACAGAATTCAAACCGCAAATAGTTAATTAATTAGAATTAATTTATTTTTCCACTTTACTTTCGTTTTCGTTAAAAAGGTTTTTTCTTTTTCGTAATTAGAATGAATTTATTTTTCCACTTCTCGGAGATCTTTACTCTCGTTTTCGTTAAAAAGGTTCTTTCTTTTTCGTACTTAATTTTGGAATTGAATAATTATATATTTTGTAAAACGAAAGTTCGTGTCAATTCATTCACCATTTCTGTTTCTCATGCTTTTTTCATTTCCTAAGCAATCTACATGAGATTTTCTTCAACAAGTTTCGTTGATAAATTTGCGACAATCAGATCTGAGATATTGTTGGCAAGCTTAAAGCCCGTCTTAGACGGACACAATTCTTCTAGTTATATATAATAACCGAATTTTTTGTAAGGTTATTATATACAGGGTGTTGTTTTAAAAAAAACGTGGCTAAAGTTTAAAGGTAGATCAGGCATTATAATTAAGTTCCGAAAATATTAAGAAGGTGCATCTCACTCGAAAACTCGCAAGGGTTTAAAATTTCAAATTTGCAACACAACAGGTTTGGTTTAGTTATATTAACGGCCCCTTTTTGAAGCAACGCGAGGGCTATTTTGGACGGACCGTAATTTTGAACCGTGGTCAGATGACGAGGACAACACCTGAGTTGGCGCCCACCTCTCTAAGCTTCCTCACCACACCAGCGAGAGGACGTTTGGCTCCCTACGTATGATTAAGCGTACAACAGAGCCAAATAGACGGCGGATCTCCATTGAAATCGGGCTTCGAACCATCGGGTCAGTGGCCGAGACATTACCACTAGGCCACACAGAAGTGCACGAAAAGTTGATTAAAAAGTTCCATTTATGCAAACATGAAACAAGTGAAGTGTATTAAAAGTGTTTAAAAAACAGCGTTGCCAGGAGAGGGATTCGAACCCTCGTCGCACACTGCGAATCAGAGGTGCCGGGTCGGTGGCATCCCTCACACATCCCAGTCATTTCACTTTACTACATATACACACACATTATCTACACACCAATCGCTACAATTTCTGTTCTCTTTGGACGGACAGGGGTCGGGCGTCGGGGGGATGGGAGAGAGACACCAGCGATGAATGCGACTCTGATGCCATGACCACTCGGCCACCCCGGTCACAAATGCGAGTGTCTCTGATGCAATACTAGAAGATTGAAAAAGGCATGTCCAGCTGCCCTTGTAGCGCACTATATTGTTCAATATCGTAAAATTCGAAAAATCAATATTGCACAATATTGTAACAGTGTAAAATTTAAGACTTTTCCAATATTGCTCAATATTGGGTTTCAATATTGATAAATATTGAGCAATATTATACAATATAGTTCAACCTAGTTTCAATAATGTACTAATTATTTCCCCCAAAATAATAAATATTACATCAAGAAAATTGGATTAGAATAAAAGAGTCATTTGAAAATGTTATGCGAAATAATATAGGAGGATAAGCAGGAAACCAACCTAGGTCTACATCCGGCCTGCCGAAGCAACCGTGTCATCTGAATGCCCCACAATAGCTCGAGTACTGAGGCCGGAGTCCTAATAGTCTATCACCAGGCCACCTCCCGACCACTCCCGAAGGAGGGACGTACCATCACAGGTGGAGGAACTTAGAGCCCCTCCATTACTATACCCCCAGGGGAAGCGAGTTTCTGCTTACTTATTTGGCAGCAACTCATCCATGTACTCGCGGTGCCCCCGCGGGGGAGTGTGAATTAATATACAGGGTGTTTCATATAACAATTGCCAAAATAAAAGGACAATTCAGGCATAAGATAAGAGTCCAAAATCAAATAGGGGTATGGGTGTCCAAACACCATCTAGGGGCAGCGTTTAAAATAAGAATTAATAGCGTTGGTCCAATTTATGGACAGTTTTTGAAATTTGCACATGTTTTCGAATATCTCCACGAATTTCGGCCATCTCGTGACATGAATTACACCCTTTGGGTAAGCACGGTCTGGTTGGACAATAAAAAAGAACTTAGACTATATAAAGAATAGGTTTAAACTCACAATTTACATTGAAGATTCGGTCACGAGGGCATTTAGGGTACAGACCAGAAATTGATAGAGTCGTAAAGGGATTTTGGCTCATCCCCCATCACAGAAAGCTGATAATGCTTTGCAACTTTCATAAATTCTTTTATGTGATGTGCGCAATATTTACATGCATTATCGCAAAAATTGTACGAATATATTCCTCAACCAAATTATACGAAACTCGCAGAATACATAGCAATATATTAGAGAAGCATTGTATTAAAATTTGAAGTAAATACGTTGATTAGTAAAGGAAATATGAGTATTTGTAGCAAATAATTTTATCTGCACACACGCGAAACGTAGCGTATTTTTTCTTTCATAACTTTCATAATTTTCTTTCATGGGCAACTCATATAAAAATTTCAGTTAAACACCGTTAACATTCAGAAAGATATTGGCATTTTGCCCAGAGACGTATTATTTTAAATGCCATCTGCTGCCACCAGATAGCGTTTGCGCACAATTGTTCCTATGTGATTTTGGATGATTATCGAATGCCTGACTTACCCTTAATGTTTGGCCCCTTTTTTTAACCCGCGAGGACGCGCACTACGAAGAGTAATGTGAAGACGCGCAAGGGGTTGTGCGACCCCCGATTCGTTATTTCACTATTTAAGCAAAACTGGAAACATTTTTATGCTATATCTGTTCCAAATCATTTATGGAAACAGTTCTAATTACAGAAGAACAAATTTATAGACGAAAAATTTAGTAAATAATACATTTTATTATTCAGCGCATTGTGAACATATAAGAAAAGTATATTTGTTATATATATATTTTCAATACTTTTTAGGAAATAATCATCAATACAATAAGCGTTATACCATTGGGAAAGAAAAATACTGCTTCTAATTTTTTTAAGTACAGAGGAAACCATTTTTTTATTAGAAATTAAAATAAGAATTTTGATGAACTTTATCTTTAAATATAATAAATTTAGGGTGTAATACACATTTATTTTTCAGAATAATTTCTACAATTTTAAGCTCTTCCTCCAATAGTTTTTGTGAAAGCGGATTAGACATATACCAGCTGTCTACAGTTGCATTACGCTCAGAATAATATAACTTTTGCATCAATGTCTTGACATTTTCACTTACGCTATTATCCAGTATAAAAGTCTTGTACCCGCAAAAAATCTCCATTTTAGAAATATAGAATATTCTTAATCCACTTGCTTCTTCACTAAAACTTAAATAGTGATACAACATTATTTTCCTGCCCATAATACGATCATTCAACTGAACAACGAAACCTGTAACGAGGACGAACAAGAGGGTGTTTCACATCCTCTATGGTGAATTCCAATAAAAATAAATGAAAGAGTTTTTCTTGAAACACGTTCCGTTTGTTGAATGTGTCCTTAAAGGAAGATAGCATGGATTTGACTCATTTCAATTTAAGGGAAGTCAGTATTTTTCACATTTTACGTGGCGTGGAGTGTCGGACACCCCCTTTCTCATCCTTGGGGGTTAAACATCTGTATAATCGACAGTTATTATGTATAATTACTGTGATAATTACATATAATAACCAATTACCTACATTGACGATAGCAAATCCACTCTTTTGGGTCTCCCTGTACATTTAATATCTACCGATCCGAGTATTTTAAGTCTCATTTCTTATTTATAAACTGAAATGGTGGTTCTCAAAACGAAGTAAGCTACCTTCAATCATTTTTCAGACGTATTAGATTGTTTTCCTTTCGTCTTTTATTTTTGCAACGAAGCGCCGCATCTACGGCGAAAAGGAAAATATGTACCGAAGAAGATTTAATATTCTGATATTTCAATCTTTTAGGGAGTAACAACTCCGCTGTTTTTCTTCGTCCCGCGAATCTCTCGAATCAATCATTTGCAGACATTTCCCAGACCGAAAGGATATGATTTATGGATAATATCCTTTCTCCTGAAGACGTCCATTCGGGAGAATATCCACTCTTTCAAGGAAGAAGACTGATAGGAAGAGGATGCGAATCGACGACCAGATAGGAGATTCGAATTGGCCCCTATTTAGGTATAAATGGAAAATATAAGCATAACCGGGATGCAGGTGAACCGACTTCATCTGACTGCGGGGAAATCATTTCGATCGAAATATTGGAGGGATTATTTTGTTGTGAGCATTTTTGTAACTTATTTCCTTTCATGAGGAAATTGCATTTAGACATGGTAGTACGGTTTGATTATATAGGAATAAATACATTGTAGCAAATCATTCATTCATTTTTCTCTCTCTTTTTCTCACTCTTTAAGAGCGGTTCGGTCTTTTTCGGGTGCTAAGATGGTTTTTCATTAAATTACAACGAGAGTCGGTCCTCGATGTTTAATTAGTTTTAAGCGTAGGGGAAAATGGGGTAAAACTTGGTACATTGATTTTGCCGCTATGAGTATTGCTTTCCAGCGGAGAGATTCTGAATTACATTCCTGTAGTCAGAACCAGCGGGAGTGGTCTCCTCTAAACTTTCTCGTATACTTCCTAAAAAGGTGTCATTTTCCCTCTAACTAGGGTTCCCATACGTCCCGTATGCTATTTGTCTGACTTGCTTCCTGAACTCTGAGTCATTATAATTTTAAAATGACCTGCGCCCATTTTTATGATTATGTGTAGAAGGAAAATGATAATTAAAAAAATTGCGTAAGTTCTCAATTTTTAAGCGCGCTGAGGTACGACAACTTTATTTAAAGTTTTTGAGAACGAAATCTTACTACAGATATCACGCAAGATTTCATCATACCTTTCATCTGGAGAATGTCAGAACGAAGTTTCGGGTTCAAGGGGTCTTCAATGGGGTAGACCGTCAAGGTCAAAAGCCAACTATATTAACTTGAGTAAAATAAGCGAAACGCTCGCTATCACACAGTCGCAATGTGCATTTTGAACCAAATATGCAATTTGAACATCTTTTTTCCAACGGATTGAAACGAAATATGAGCGTAGATCTATAATTAATATTAGCAAATGTCATACCAATTTTTATTTATCTAAGCCAAAGGATTTAGGAGATAAAATTTTTACAAGTATGCGATTATATAGACCGACAGACAGTCAACTCTTTGACGGATTTGGCCCAAACTTTTATACGGACCTACATTGATGTCGATAAAACTGTGAACCAAATTTTATTCATCTAGCTATTCAAGTTTTTGAATTATAGTGCTCACATGATCGCGGACAGACAGACAGACTTCCCGTAGACGGAATTTGTCCAAAATTTGATAGAAACCTACACATTATGTTTAAAGACCACATACCAAATTTCATCCCCGTAGCTTTAATAGTTTCCTAGTTATCGTGTTCACAGACACACAGACAGGCATAATTCCAAAATTGTTTTTTTCGGACTCAGGGAGGTCTAAAACGTGGAGATTCGTCAAAATCTCGAGTTCGAATTTTTTGACGATTACAATACTTTATATTTGTATACTTCGTCTACGAGAAAGTAAAAAAAGGAATGGCCACATTGACCTTGTTGTTGCTGTTCAATTCAGTTCATCAGTGTCGGTGAATTTATTTTAAGATGTCAAGCCTCTAAAATTCGTTTGTTTTTAAACTATCCTTATTTAATAATCAGTACAGTTATAAAATCTCTGTTTGGTCCGGCTTATTATATGTTTACTAAGGATTTATACACTATCAAACAACAACGATTTAGTCTAATAGTTGCGTGGTTCTACTTCGTTTTTTATAGCCTTTGCACTCGGGGTAAGACGAGGTACGCTAGTTGCACAAGACTGGGACAACTCAAGAAGTCAACTCTCTGGATGGATGAATTTTTGGATGACACCAAAACTGTAGATTTTCCCTTAATTTTGGGTCATGTCCGTGAAAGGATAGACTGTTTATTTCACTGTATGTTTGTATGTAGATGAATAAGCTTAGTATGAGGCCTTATCATCAAAATTGTAGATACGTATCCAATTTTGCCATGGTTAGGTCGAAAGGAAGCATACGTATCAGTGGAAAATTTCATTGGGTTTGCATGCCCAGTTGCAAAATGCGATCCTAGTTCTCCCAAAAAGCATACTCAGTTATCTTTGTTATACTACGAAACTAAACCCAAAA